ACAATGCAACATGCCGTCCAACCGACGTGTATAACTCCGCACTCGGCATCTAGTTTGAACCTAATCTTTACGAACTGCGAGCAAAATCTGAGGTCAGAGACCTCAAACCCCTAGCGAACAGTGACCACTGCTCTATTGTGGCAAGTATAGAACTGCTGTTACCGTATTACAACCAACGGAAGCCGACATTCAACTATTGGAAGACGGACTTCAATACGATGCGTCGCTTGAGGCATGTTGGTCGTTAATGAAGGGAAAGCTTAATTCGCTGTGTACTCCGTTCGTTCCCCTGAATTATTCAAAAGCCGGACCTGTCAAACCGCATTGGTTTGATAAGGAATACAAACAGTTAGCGCGACGGCGTCGCAAATTTTGGGATAGATACATCAGCTCTTGTTGTGATGAAGAGTACACGGTGTACAAGGAATAGGGTGACATTTCTGACGCCGCGATGATCAAGAAACGCCGGCAGTTTGGAGCTAGTAGTCTCGGCCAAAACGGCCCCGAAGAGAATATTTGCCTACTTGAAACGTCAAGTGAAACCTGCGGGCGACCTACCGGTCTTAGAGAGCTTGAACGAACAGACGCACATTTCAAGCGCGGAGCACACGGACGCCTTGGCTACCCACTACCTCACCGGAGTTTGCAATAAACCGGCGGCTGTTCCAATACCGGCACAGGTTGCACAAGTCTTGCTTGACAGCTTACAATGTGATGCAGTCGAAGTGCATCAACTACCCGTCAACCACAATGGTGCGAAACCCCCCGGACCAGACGGACTTCACCCACTAATATTTAAGTCCCTATCGAATGTCATCTCACCAGCCATGGCAAACCTATTCAATAAATAACTCTCTGAAGGATCTGTCAAGAACAACTGGAAATGCTCGATAGTGAGACCGCTTCCCAAGGGTGGCGATCTGAGTAAAATAGAGAACTATAGCGATCTGTTTGACTTCAGTATCATCCAAAGTTCTCGAGGTTGTGAAAAAGTGTCTGCAATCGTTCTTCGAATCGATGGACGTATTGACGCCAGCGCAAAACGGCGTCACGAAGGGGCGATTCTGATGCACGCAAACCAGTAGGTACGGGCTCTCAAGGAACAGAAAGATTTTGACGTGGTGTAGATCGACTTTAGTAAGGCGTTTGACATAGCGAACCACAAGGTACTCCTTCGTAAACTGAGGAGCTACGGAATCGGTGACACGCTACTTCATTGGTTACACGAGTTTATTGTGGGACGAAAGTTTAGAGCACAGGTCAATGACTGCCTGACAGACTGGTTCCCATCAACCAGTGGCGTGCCTCAAGGAACTGTATTTGGGCCAGTATTATTTCTTATTCATATCAACGATCTTCCGCAGCAGCACCAGTCACCATGTGTCCTGTTTGCAGATGATTTGAAAATCCGGAGGATCATTGAGGACCAGGACGACTGCGCTCGCCTCCAGCATGACTTAGAGCGACTGTCAACGTGGTCCACTGAAATGCAACTCCCTTTTAACGCAAGCAAGTCGGAGTTTATCAGTATCACCAGACGTCCAGCCATTCCACCATACACCTTGGACGGCCAGTTGCTCCATCCCAACACATCTGTCAGAGACCTAGGTGTTCTCTCGCGACATGATATGAGATCACTAGAAAATACAGGGAAATTGTACCGTATGCTCTGGGTATTACGACGTAGTTTCTCCACATGATCCGAAGAAACCGTCCCTCGTCTATTCACCTCGCGCAACAGACTACTGGTTGAATACGGCGCCCCAGCTTACTATCCGATATGTATGTATGTATGTAATCTCAACAGTCTAGTAACTAGACATAGAGCCAAGAAAGCCATGGAAATCAGTGTATAAGAGACAGTCATTGCGTCATAATCGTCATGGTATGCTAGCTGAAGGTGGGCAACACACTTCTGCTAATGTGCCGCAAGAAGGAATATTTTGACAAAAATATAGAACAAAACATTTTTAGTTTGTTTGTCACACGCCGCTTTTTCTCTTTTTTGTCATTTTCAATGTTTGTAGAATTAAACATGTGAATCAACACAACACTGTACACAATTCTTCCATTGATTCCGGTTGCGGGCCATATCTTCAAGTGTCCTAAGCCATTGGCACTCCCCATCTTTGGGTCCCCATCCTGGAAGACGTACGGGTCCAACAGCGGCTAGACACGACGTCAGCGATTTCATGTGCTGCCGCCAAGTGGAAGGCTGACCACCACGCGGTCGCTTCCAGCCAGGTCCTTGACGACCGAATAGAGCGCGACGCGGTAGACGCTCAGGTGCCATGCGTAGGACATGACCGAGCCATCTTAACTGGCGCAACAAAACCAGTTTGTTGAAGGAAATACTTGCATTCCCCAAGACGCGACGTCGAACGTCATTACTGGTAACTCGATGTTGCCACCGAACACGAGCGATCCAAGTGGTTCCGTTAGCCTAATTCACATAGTAAAGTTTGTGGGGTGCTACTCAGATGCAAATCGCAAGAAGTGGCACGTAAGAGGCCCTCCGAATACGGAAGTAGGGAGAACAGTCAGATTGTCTGGACCCAACGTGTATTGAGAAAAGATACAAAGTACTGAGGGCAGATAAGCAGCGGCAGACAGCGTGATTCAAGAGGAGAGCAAGTGATTGGTATGTACAATCAGTTAGACGATCAAAAGAAACAAAGAAGAGTGAAATCCAATGTCTCAAAATACTGAAATGTGAATAATTCATGTTCACTACAGAGGTCTCCACCTAAATGCTGAAGGTGAGAAGCCTTCGATAGAGATGTCAGGTAGGGATACAAATTTAGGACCGGAAAGTACGGCAGTTCTTGTAGTTGGCGCAGGCGAACAGAAAGGGGGCGCATAGAGTTCGTTGGATCCAGTCTTATTTGTTATTTGCTATTTATTATTTTGGTGTGGACTGGTGCATCATCAGTGAGCCGTTGGGGCGGGCTCGCCGGATTACAAAATACTGGCTAGTCCAGAAAAAGGGCTGAGAGGACATTTACTGCGCTGCATGTTCGACGGGGCGTTTGTGAGGTGTCATTCCTCCCACCGCATCCCAGTCCACGATGACAATCCTCATCCCACGAAGAATCCCGGACGTCGACTTGTGGAAATCGCTTTACAGAGTTCGCAGTTTAGGCTCATAACAATTAAAATAATGTAACAGCTGTACGTTGTAATGGCACTCCGCTGCCGCGCGACCACCACCAGTTGCAGGTGGGCTGTGTATACCGCGAGGACGCTCACCCCCTACGCAGATTCGAACCGGTGAACTTATGGTTGCAAACCAGGCGCGCGGACCACTCGGCTACCGGCCAGACTAGCCGTTGTCGCACCGGTAGAGGGTATTGGCGGTCGATTTGGAACCAGGATGCTGGGGTCTGAGTCTTCGGGCAGGTGAGCCACGAGATTCCGAGGTTTCTCGGGGGACCTGAGTTCTGGCATGTAAAACTCGGGGTGGGAGTGAGACGTGATCGGGACTGGCAGCGTGAAGCCGTATGGGAAATGAAGCAAGTATACGATATAAAAACGTGCACACTTCAGTTCTGTTCATTAAAAAGGTTTTGGGTTCTCTTTTGGACGATCGGATCATAAAAAATAATAAAACCAAATGTCACAAAATACTGAAAGCCTGTATAATTTATGTTCACTACAAATTACATCGCACACATTTAACAAACTGAAAAAGTGGAACCGTGTCTCTCTGGTCCCCAGTTCCTACAAAAGTAGTATGCAGCGATGGACCTCAATGTGACGTCAGTACTCAGTGTAACAAAGCTGTTATGTCACAATAAAGTTTATCTCTTGGTGCCAAGTAAGCAAAGAGTACAAAGTTAAGTCCAACTAACATACGGTAGACACTTGTCTCATCATGCGCTACACAGAAACAATCTTTGCCAGAAAAAGATAATCATCAGAACCCAGATTGAAAGCACATCATTAAACAGAGATCTTTCCAACACTTGTCGCTCCAAGTAGTGCTTTTAGACAGTACGCTATAAAGGAGTTCGATTAAAGAGGTCCACTGCAAAATAAATCGCGGTTTGAATTGAGATAGCACGTCACTAGCAGCACATACGGTGTCCTTTTCAAACGCAACATCTCAACCTTCTATACACTTGGAGCGAAATTATTTTAGCGACGCAGGTTGTTCGCTTTCTAGTCGCCTGCCTAGGAATGTGAACTTTAAGCTCCAGGCTCACTAGCAGCGAGCACGTCTGATAACCGAACGTGACCTAAAAGATGCAATTCACGTCGTATCGTAAGCATACAAAAGCAGATGCATTAGATATGGCATGGGGGATTAAAAACCGTGTTCAACCAATGCTTCTGCGCGAATCCAAAGTTTCTTTAACACCAACATCCAAGGTGACAGTGTTTCCCTCATACCGTGGTAGGTGCAAAGGAACCTAGAAATTTTCGCGTTAACTCACGTGGATGAGAGAGTGGGATGCGTGCAGAACAGCACCAAACATTTCTGAGAAAATTCATCGCAGCCATACAGCCACCACACTTTCAGGAAAGCGATGGACGGCCGTTTAATCCACTGAGAATTTTCATCTCAACTTGTAAGCAGTTAGTTTTAAATTCCAAGCACATACATGACCTACCGCTTTTAATGGGCAAGCAGTGCTTGTCGATCGCAGCCTCCACGTTTCGCATGCGTGTAGTATGTTTTCGTACCGTTTGGTTACAAAATGGAATATCAGGTCCAAACAATCGTCACGCTCTACTCACCAGCCATTAAGCCCGACGGGCACTCGAACAACTTCCTGCTACTCATGCGGCTAACGAATTTCTATGAGAAAATAGGATGGAGTGATCTGAGGTCATCACACACGCACGATTCCGTAGCCTAGTTCCCGGATTGAGCTGCGAGAAAGCGTGCTACTGACGACAACAACATTAAGTACGGATCAACCATTTGGTGGCCCCTAGGTTGACGGATAAAGAACTGAACGCACCGGTGGGTATAATGGACAAACCAAATAATTCATTCAGCTCACCTGACCCTCAGTTTTCCCCATAGGGATTGTCACTTTATAATCCGGAGTCCAGATCCCACTTTCTTGCCAAACAAATTTGCTAAATTTCTTGGTATCTTTATCCATTGCAATTGCAGTCCAAGGCGTCTTATCGACTAGCTCACACAGTGCGAGGACAACATCGTTTGTATGTAACAACCGGCGCCCAACGCCCAACGGTAGCACACTATTTTTAGACAAGCTGTGCTCCAACAGATGACGAACCAAGGAGATTGCTTTCATGCCTTTGTCAAATGCTATTAGGCGGTGCTGTCGACGTAGGTCTTCCAAGTTGCTTTCCTCCGCAATCTTCAATAAAAAAGTGGGTTTGGTTAATTGATTGTAAACCAGGTGGTTTTCTATTTGACCAACTTACTTTTCTGTAAATAAGTAAGCAAATAACTAGAGAGTATATTCCTAGATGGTGCGGAGCGCAACCCAACTGAATAGTCTGATCAATGTACTGGAGAGGACACTACACTAGGTATGTGGCATTCTGTGAATGGCTCTGATGGAGACTCTATCTACCAGCTTATTTTACCGAACTTAGTGAACCACTCGCCTCAGCAGCACGAGTTCCATGATACCAAATAAAGAGCACCGTATGGCTCGTTGGACGGAGCCGTTCAGTTGTCCCCTGCTTCTGGACCTCTTCCTACTGACGTATTACAGGCTGAGCCATTATCAGTTTATTTAGAAACTTCGTTGGAAGCTGAGGTCAGAAATGCGATTACAATCCTCAATCCTTTTTGTGCTGCTGGCCCGGATTCCCTCGCACACACACTAATTAAGCACGGTGGTGAGGTTCTTTGCAAACCAGTGACTCCCATATTCGAACAGATCTGGAAAACAGAGGCAATCTTAGCTAACTGGAGTGAATCAATTGTAGTGGCGGTGTACAAGAAGAGCCGTCGCACCGACTGTGATATCCACAGGGGTATTAACCTAACGCCAGTGGTGACAAAAGTACTGGCCACAATTCTCGTTTGTCGCCTCAGTGCGGAACGGGAATCCAAGATTAGAGAAGAGCAGGCGGATTTACGCCCAGGACGGGGCCGTGTAGACCACATATTCACTTTGCGGCAGGTGCTAGAACAGCACAACTTGTATCGCAGATCAACAACGGCTGTGCCCGTCTCAATCGACCGATGCATTCTGTTTGAAATACTTGTGTGGAAAGGCGTTCCCATGAAATATGTGAACATTTTACGTTCTCTGTACTCGAACTCGACCGACCGCGTCAGGGTCTAAGGTGATTTGTCGGATGTTTCTCCGGCAACAAGTGGCGTTCGTCAGGATTATCTAGTTTCCTCCTTTTTGTTCAACTTCATCGTGGGCATGCATCATGGAGTGTTTCCTTGCGTAATCTTAAGATGTAAGCGTTGAGATGCTGCCTGTTGAAAAACTAGTTGATGTTGATTATGCGGACGCTCTTGTCCTTCTTTTTAACGATGGGGTGGCGCAATCAACCCTGAATAACCTCTAGGATGGCCTCATTATTAGTATGGTCTGCGCGCCTTTAACGTGTAAAGTGTTGCTGCAGGACCATTAGCCACTTAATGACCCCTTGATGGCAGGAACTCGAGGTAGTTGATCACTTCACCTACCTTGACAACTGCATTGGCAGCGATCGGTGCATAGCAACTGAAGTCCGTTCACGCATTGCAAAAGCTAGAACTGCACTTTTGAATCTGTAGCATCATAAATCGGTTTCCCTCGGTCTAAAATGCCGTGTATGCAGGGCCATGGGGATGACCGTCCTACTCTATAGAAGTGAGATTGGCTCCTCCGCTCTGAGGACCTTCTGCACCTTCAGGTCTTAAATCATCGTTGTCTGCGAAGCATTGCTGGTGTCGGATGGCACCAGCGTGTTCGCCACGATGATGTGCGTTACCCATTAGTAGGATATGATACCCAAGGTAGTTCCTTGGAACAACAGTTAGCACTGAGTAAATTGCGTTGACCTGGATTGCACTTAATTATACCTGGTCAACGCCTACCGAGGAGGACCTTTTGTTTACTGGATGTAAGGTGGTACAAGACTCGAGGTGGACAAAAGTTGACTTGGCAGCGGGAACTGAAGTCACTGACGACCAAACTGGGTGTCGTCGGTCCGTCTCGCCTTCCAGGCTGGAGTCCACGTGACCAGCCTTGTGCTTGTCTCGAGACGTTGCAGGACAAGGCGTGCAGTCGACACCGGTGGCATCTGCTGTTGTCTAATCAGACTGCCTGTTTGCATGGTAGCCAGCTGTTTGCTACCGTATGTTGTTAACAAGTTGTAGGCGTCTTGAATTTACGTGTTGGTTTATGCCATTAAGGTTTTGCGCCAAGTTCCCCTTTTCCCCTCTTATTGTTTTTCGTTCCGTATGTCACGGTGATTGTGCGGCAGTGAAGTTCAAATGGCTGGCATACTGTTGTTGATGATCGTGGCTGGCCTTGAAAAGGACAAGCAATATTTTAGAAAATCGTGGTTTGAGATCACCAAATGTGTTGCAATCATCTACGCACTCAAATTCATTCAAATCAGTATAGGCAACGGGTGGAAGCCGAATGATTTCTGTCCCCTTTCTCTCATTCAGAGGATTGTGCGGTCAGTACTGTATTCATGAAAATCATGGTTGGCGGCGGCCCGTTCCGGATTTACCTGTCATTGCAACATCCACAGAACACCACAAGAGCCATGGGTGGCTTGCGCTGCATCACCCACGGCTTCATCCACACACCACATGTCCAGTGTAAATCCGAAGAAATAAGAATGTGACGCATGTGGACAGAAGCCACGTTTCATCAACAGAGCCGACCCACATTTTTTCAACATACACGGCAGTTGCATTCCTGTCTAGTTATGTAGGGGATTCATGCGTACCAGACGTACACAAGGCGGTAGATATTCCGTCACCCCCTCTACACTAGGTGGAACCATTCTTTGAGCCTAGCACGGCCACGAGAACTGGCATCCCTCCTCCCTAGCAAAGATTAGCAGCGTCTTGGAGCCAGTAATCAAAGTGGAGGGTTTTAGACAGGTAGGTACTTTGGGAACGTTCACATCAAGCGCAGCCACACCGGGGATATCAAACAACCACCACAGAATTTGCACGAAACAAACACGCAACATTGAAACAGAATATGCAGCAGATCAACAGAACCGAGAAAATTAACTGAAGGGGAGTACTTTTAACTTTAATTATGAAAATCTAATTTAAGTGCAAGCCGTCGGTATGGCCCAGCTGCGTTGAAGAAGCATCATATATGCAACATCAACCTCAGTATAAGGTATTCATCCAAAATACAGTGTCTTCATTATAGGCTGTTGCTTATATATATATTTTTTTCTATGTGCCATCTGTTTATTACCCTGGCGGAAGCTGGAATGGGTTTAACTGCTCCCAACGTTATAATTGCTACTTTCCTACAGCACTTGACACAAAATTGGTTTTGCTTTGGGCACAACCTCTGCTGGGTCTCTCGACTTCGGGCTAAACTCATGCAAATTAGTGTTCTCGTCTTAACTAGGTATAGATACATTCCACTATTATAGGCTTTCTGTTTGTTTAAGTGAATCTTACAACTTCTTCTCGCGTCTTCATAGACTCCCTGTAGTGACTTTATTGGCTGTGAGGACTAACAGTGCTTATGAGGCTCTGGGCATGTGTTGTTTTGTTTTCGAGACTCACCTCAAGGGATTTCTCACGCTTGTTATTCATTGGGTGCAAAGACATGTAGTATCCCTAGGCTTTGCCTTCATATGGTTCAGGTTTACCTACCCAATGTCATTAATATTGGTTTATTTAAATAATCGCAAAAGTCGCTCACTTTATCTTTCAGTTGTATCAACTCTGTTTTGCTTTGCTCCGTTGAGTACTCAGAGATGAGATGACACAGCGAACGATAGCACCAATCGACCAGATCCACTGCACTGTCCCCCAATGTTTCAGTCGCATCCGCATGAAAAGTGATAGTCTCCAGCAGGTTCGCCAAAGTCAACTCGTGATACAACAGGGTGTACGTAGGGAACGAGGAGGTTGGCTCAACATCGCTATTCAGAAAATGCGGAAACACCTTTTCTTTCCATAATTCAACAATAATGAGAGACTCAACGAGCAATGGCAGTTTTTGATGTGCTATTAGATATTCCTTCACAAATTCATCTCCTTGTGTTTGGGCTGAATTCACAGCCTATATGGGTAAAAATGTGATGATCACGGAAAGTCGGTTCCAACCTAACCTGCATGTTTAACTTTGTCAGGTATCCATGATGTCTGTACCATTTGTCGGTTCCAAATTCTTCCATCTGCACGGATTCCATTGATTGAATCATGGTCTCGGCTTCCCCGGGAAATATTATATACTAATAAGGAAAAAACGCGGGATAGCAATATGTGTCAAATAGTTGATTGGAGGATGACAGTGCAGTACAGCAATGAGCTGCATTTTAGACAGTAGACCTCAACACATTTGATGCTGTGAGAGCAATATGGGAATTTGATGACTGTCTAGCTGCGACGAACATTCTCAAAAGCGCAATACATCCATGCTATTCTATTAATCAGTAGTCGCCTTAGCAGCTTACACGCCACTTCCATTGGTGGTCGCCTGCAAGGACAGTCGTAGCTTTGGTGACCAATCCCGTCCCCTTCACTTCCATGATATGTATGACAGTGGAGAATGAGCCGCGTTAGATCGCGGTTAGGAACCAGTCATGACGGTCCGCTGCTGTCATCCGTGGCTCAGTGGCATAAGTCGCCGACTCGTAAGAGTTAAGTCTTGGGTTCGGGTACAGCAGATGCGCACTACTGAAAATTCCCAGTGGATTAAACGGCCGTCCATCGCTTTCCTGAAAGTGTGGTGGCTGTATGGCTGCGATGAATTTTTCTCAGAAATGTTTGATGCTGTTCTATACGCATCCCACTCTCTCATCCACGTGAGTTAACGCGAAAAATTTCTAGGTTCCTTTGGACGTTCCACGGTATGAGGGAAACACTGTCACTTTGGATGTTGGTGTTAGAGAAACTTTGGATTCGCGCAGAAGCATTGGTTGAACACTGGTTTTTAATCCTCCATGTCATATCTAATGCATCTGCTTTTGTATGCTTACGGTACGACGTGAATTGCATCTTTTAGGTCACGTTCGGTTATCAGGCGTACTCGCTGCTAGTGAGCCTGGAGCTTAAAGTTCACATTCCTAGGTAGACGACTAGAAAACGAACAACCTGAGTCGCTAAAATAATTTCGCTCCAAGTGTATAGAAGGTTGAGATGTTGTGTTTGAAAAAGACACCGTATGTGCTGCTAGTGACGTGATATCTCAATACAAACCGCGATTCGCTTTGCAGTGGACCTCTTTAATCGAACTCCTTTATAGCGTACTCTCTAAAAGCACTACTTGGAGCGACAAGTGTTGGAAAATTCTGTTTAATGATGTGCTTTCAATCTGGATTCTAATGATTATCCTTTTCTGACAAAGATTGTTTCTGTGTAGCGCATGGTGAGACAAGTGTCTACTGTTAGTTGGACTTAACTTTGTACTCTTTGCTTACTTGGCACCACGAGATAAACTTTATTGTGACATAACAGCTTTGTTACACTGAGTAATGACGTCACATTGAGGTCCATCCCTGCATACTACTTTTGTAGTAACTGGGGACCAGAGAGACACGGTTCCACTTTTTCAGTTTGTTAAATGTGTGCGATGTAATTTGTAGTGAACATAAATTATACAGGCTTTCAGTATTTTGTGACATTTGGTTTTATTATTTTTTATGATCCGATCGTCCAAAAGAGAACCCAAAACCTTTTTAATGAACAGAACTGAAGTGTGCACGTTTTTATATCGTATACTTGCTTCATTTCCCATACGGCTTCACGCTGCCAGTCCCGATCACGTCTCACTCCCAACCCCGAGTTTTACATGTCAGAAACCCAGGTCTCCCGAGAAACCTCGGAATCTCGTGGCTCACCTGCCCGAAGACTCAGACCCCAGCATCCTGGTTCCAAATCGACCGCCAATACCCTCTACCGGTGCGACAACGGCTAGTCTGGCCGGTAGCCGAGTGGTCTGCACGCCTGGTTTGCAACCATGAGTTCACCGGTTCGAATCTGCGTAGGGGGTGAGCGTCCTCGCGGTATACACAGCCCACCTGCAACTGGTGGTGGTCGCGCGGCAGCGGAGTGCCATTACAACGTACAGCTGTTACATTATTTTAATTGTTATGAGCAGCTGTAAAGCGATTTCCAAAAGTCGACGTCCGGGATTCTTCGTGGGACGAGGATTGTCATCGTGGACTGGGATGCGGTGGGAGGAATGACACCTCACAAACGCCCCGTGCAATAAGTCCTCTCAGCCCTTTTTCTGGACTAGCCAGTATTTTGTAATCCGGCGAGCCCGCCCCAACGGCTCACTGATGATGCACCAGTCCACACCAAAATAATAAATAGCAAATAACAAATAAGACTGGATCCAACGAACTCTATGCGCCCCCTTTCTGTTCGCCTGCGCCAACTACAAGGACTGCCGTACTTTCCGGTCCTAAATTTGTATCCCTACCTGACATCTCTATCGAAGGCTTTCTCACCTTCAACCTTCTAAGGGGAGACCTCTGTAGTGAACATGAATTATTCACGCTTTCCGTATTTTGAGACATTGGATTTTACTCTTGTTTATTTCTTTCGATCGTCCATTTAAACTGATTGTACATACCAATCACTTGCTCTCCTCTTGAATCACCGCTGCTTATCTGCCCTCAATACTTTGTATCTTTTCTCAATACACATTGGGTCCAGACGATCTGACTGTTCTCCCTACTTCCCTATTCGGAGGGCCTCTTACGTGCCACTTCTTGCGATTTGCATCTGAGTAGCACCCCACAAACTTTACTATGTGAATTAGGCTAACGGAACCACTTGGGATATGCAACCAATACATTGGTCAGAAGAGGTGCATTTTCTATAGGTTCTCGCTCAGATATCCATTATTCAAGTGACGTCAACCCAAATAATGCAACTAACAGATAGAGATATGCAGATTTAGTAACATCATCATCATCAACAGCAGTACATCAGCCATTTGAACTGATCGCTTCGCTGCCATACAACCATGAGGACCTATGAAATAAAGGATTAAGAAGAGGGAGATAAGGG